GGCAGGTAAATTCTTCCATTCATGCCTTGGCGGCTCAGGTGCGAGCTGCCGAAGAGGCTCGTCGTGTGGCCGAGGAAGCCGCTCGTGCTGCTGAAGAGACTGCTCGTGCTGCTGAAGAGACTACACGTGCTGCCGAAGAGACTGCTCGTTTTTCCCGGATTAGGCAGGTGAGGTCTCAGAGGGATGCCGAGGCCATGGGAGTGGTGGTGAAGCACATGGCGGACTTGAGGTTGGATCTGCAGCATCAGGTCGAGTATCTTCAGGAGCACATGGCGGACTTGTAACGGATTGGATTTTAAGAATTTTTGAGAATCCAAACCTTCTCCACATATGAAAATGTAAAACCCTCCCCACATTCAACAATAGGGTAGGTTGGATTTAGAACTCGTATCTAATTTTTTATTTTCTTGTTATATATAAGCAATAAATAAGTAAAATAACATAAACAAATAACAAGATTTACAATTATTTGATTAAAATATGTAAAAGATAGATAATCTATCAATTATCCTCCACATAAAATTCAAAATATTATTAAACTTAACACCTAATACATAAAGCTTATATGCATTCCAACAATATGTGGGTCAGGGAGGGTTGGGTTTAGCCTAATACCGTACCCTACCCATATTCGTATGGTTTGTAGAATCCTAAAATTTGTCCCTACACCAAAACCCGTCCTTCAAGAAAAAAAAACCCACCCCGTCAGGGAGGTTAGGGGTAAGGGTGTAAATGGATCGAATTCGAATTGGATCAGCCAATATCTGAATTCAAGCCCGATTAAATATTCGATTTTGAATTCGATTAATTAATTATTTTAGATAATTAATAAATATATAAATTATTTATATAACTTAATTATTATATATAAATTATATAAAATATTTTATATATTATATATAAGAATTAAATAATCAGTTGAATTCAGATATTTATCGAATCGAATCAAGTCATATCCGAATTCGACCGATTAGATATTCGAATTATTCAATTTCGATTCAATTATGTCAAATATCGAATTCGAAATCAAATTTTCGAATACCATTTACACCCCTAGGTACGGGTGAGTACACATTGAATAGGGTAAAAATTGCCATCCCTATTAGAAACTGGATTTCCTTTTTTTACTCACACTCTATTTACCTTGAATTACAGTCACACACCATCATGTTGTATTATGAGATGTGCGGCTGCAATGTAGTGTTGACAGGGCATGAGTAGAGAAAGTGAATAGGAAATCTGGGTTCTTAAACTAATGCCATAAATTCTAGTTGATGGTTGGCTGTAGATAAAATCATGCACACCGGTTAGACAGCCTGTCACGAGAGAACATGCCAGTGTTTCATACGCATCAGGTGTGGATTCCACATAAACCCCATGTATAAAGAACACTGGCATGTTCACTCATGATAGCCCAGCCCGGTGTGCATGCAATGATTTTGTCTCCAACCTATCTAATTCCATGAATTCCTTAAAATAACGTGAGCCGTACGATTAGAATTCCTCTAATAATTATCTCCATATTAAAAAAATAAAAATATATTCAAAGACCTACCTAACAATTTAAGCTTTGGTTGAATAATTCTTTAAAATAACCTAATAATCAATATTTATTATTCCCATTATAATTAAATTTCAAAATAAGGTATATTAGTATATATGGGTGGGCCTTGGGAACAATGCAAATATGGAAGGAAGGATGTAGGAGGAACTCAAGGTTGGGGGGAAAATTAAATGAGGATATGATAGAGAGAATGGTGAGCCCATTTCATCTGTTACATGCAACAACTCAATGTCATGCTTGGCCCAGCCTACGTGAAATCATTATCGCAAGAAATAATGAGAGAGTACAGTGAAGACCGAACCATTACCAGATTACTTTGTTCTCTATCTTGTACTGTTCTACACATCTATAATTAATGAGAGTCAAACTCAGCGTAATAGATTATGAGATTTCACAGACTTGAATTATATCAGAGAGTAGGGTTTGTGAGTCACATCATTTCAGTTAAGTTAGAGCGTATGAGTTATTTAATTTCTTTTTGAGGTCTCAGTTTTTATCCATTCAAGGCCATGGGATATGTGGATGGATCCATGCAACGTCCATCTAAAATTGTTGAGAAAAGATGGAATTGGAGTTCCGAATTCAGATTTCACTTTATGAGAACTATGGGACCAAGACCAACAGCTGCTTCTTAGTTCTACACAAATTGCTTTGGTGAGATTTCACAAACTCTTGAGTCAGTTTGGAGTGTATCACAAACAACTAAGATAAATGTTTTTTGTGTACGGGTGCAATTTGGGTCGGGTTGGATTCGAAGTTTATTGAACTTTTCAATTGGTTGAATTATCCTGAGCCTGATAGAGTTGAAATTTTTTTAAGTTGGGCAATCCAATTTTTATCTCTACTCTTTGCAAGTGAAAGTGAAAGAAATTAACGATTAATTAGAGCTATCCATAGTTTTTAAAACCGGATTGGACCCGACGGTCGGATTAGAAAAATCGGAAACCAGTCAGATGATCGGATTCATTTTTCACCAAAACCGGATTTTGGCCAAAATATGTTGATTTGGTCAGCAAACTGCTGACCCGGGCGGTTGAACCATTTAGCACTTTTGACCGTTTATTCATTTTTTTTTTATTTTTTGTCAGAACGGGCCAGTCATTTGATTCAAACGGCTGGACCATTCGACCTGGGAACCGGACCCCTGACCGGTTCGCTCCCTGGGTAGATTTTATAAACCTTGGAGCTATCAATGGGTTAGATTTACTTGAACTGCATTTGGCATATAAAGACTTGTCTCTTTTGCAGTTAAAAATTCAATATTCATAGGAGCATTTTAACTGCAAAAAAAAAAGGAGATAAATTTTTAAAAATTCAGTATTTATAAGGGTATTTTAACTAAAAAAAAGATAAATCATTAAATAAGGAATGCCAAATGCAGCCTCAGACAGAACCAATTATATCAGTTCTGAATTTTATGTCTTTATTATAATTCAGTCGAAACAGTTTTTGATGTTCCAAATCGATTAAAACCTATGTAATTAATAATATAAAGGTCTTCTGATTTTCTTATTATTTTTGTTATATTTTATCTCTAAAAGGGTAGATTTAACATACAGTATATAAGATAGTTTTACTTTAAAACACATATTTTTATCAAATATAATCTATAAACATTTTACTATATTTATATTCATTTTTCAAAAGTTAAAGTTCTAATTCACAAATTGTTATTTAAGCACGTTAAATAAACACTTTCAATTTTTTTTTGACACAAATGCACTCAACCTACCCTTGAAAAAAATAAAAAAATAATTTTTAATAATTATCATCATATTTATAAAATGCTCACTAAATGTGGTTCCTAACCTACAGATCCGGTCCCAAAGTATAATAGGGTGTAATCGGGTCAGATCTGATTACCCCGATTAATACTGGGTTCGGTTTTGGGTTATTTATCGAATCGTTTTGGGACTGATCCACCCACCCTGTATCGAACCAGACCGGACCCATTGACAGGTGTATAAACGTCGGATAAGGTCTAATCCTTTTCAGTTTCACTCACGCTTCCACGCATCTAAGTCATGTATTTGTCTTGATCTTCCTCAATCCATTGGCATCCGATTGATTGTGTACTTCAAATAATAGAGGTCCAACACACACCTGGGTTTCTGATAATCTGAATAGAAGATCTGTGATTGTACAATTCCTTCCGATCACATTCAGACAAGTGACCAAGGGATAGCTGTATATTCTTCTGATTTGTATAGCTTCATTTCTCAAGGCTTCAAACTCAAGCCATTTGGAAGCTGTGAGTAATCATACAAGAAGCTTCCTGGAAAGTGCCATTATACAGTTCTCTCTATATAGCATCATTCTCTTCCTCACCAAAGATCTCCAGTCTGCTACATTCTTTTTCTTCTTGGTATTCGAATTGGTTGAGAGCTTACAACAAGCATCATGGCCTCAGAGGAGCAATGGACATTAATGGAGAACGGCCATGGCAATGACAGCAGCTTCAAGGGGTCGAGCAAGGAGATTCGGCACGGGAGGACTGCGCACAACATGTCATCGTCGTCGCTGCGCAAGAAGTCGGACCTCAAGCTTATCTCCAAGGTGCCGTTTCAACGTCTCAGACTGTGCTTGGCAAACATCCAAGAGGTCATCCTGGGAACTAAGCTCTCCGTTCTCTTCCCAGCCATTCCTCTAGCGATTATTGCTGAATATTGCAAGTTTGGAAGAGTGAGTCCTGTTCCCTGATTTGGGTTTCTTTCATAGATAGATGATCAATAACACATTAATTTTTTTTTTTATGGAATTAATGGTTTCTGCTGTTGTGACTGATACAGACTTGGATCTTTGCGTTGAGCTTGCTCGGCCTCACTCCACTTGCAGAGCGTGTCAGCTTTCTCACTGAGTAAGTTTGATCATCAACAACACTTATTCTAGTTTTCTGTAACTCCATATATATATAATCTGATCAACAGCATTATCAACAGTATACTGATCATATATACTTTACCTAATCAATGATCTGCAGACAAATTGCATGCTACACAGGCCCAACAGGTAATGCCATTGCCATCTCATGTTTTTGAATTAAATATATATAAATCTGCTCTGATCGATATGGAATTAATTCTGTTTTCCAGTTGGGGGGCTTCTCAATGCAACATGTGGGAATGCCACAGAGCTCATAATAGCACTGTTTGCCCTTTACAAAAGGAAAATACATGTGGTGAAGAGCTCCCTTTTGGGTTCTATTCTCTCCAACCTTCTTCTTGTCCTTGGGACGTCTCTGTTCTGTGGAGGATTAGCTAATCTCAAAAAGGAGCAGAAATTCGACAGAGTAAGAACCAAACCGCTTAATGATCACAATTCACAAGCAAGGATATCGTTCTCGTTCTTGTCTTGATATCTTGGTTCGTTAATTTCGTTTGATCTTTATCATTGACATTGATTTTACAGAAGCAAGCCGACGTGAACTCGCTCCTTCTGTTGCTGGGTCTGTTGTGTCACATACTGCCATTGATATTCAGACAGGCCGCGAGTTCTGACATAGTGGCAGCAGTCTCAACTCTGCAGTTGTCGAGAGCGAGCGCCATTGTCATGCTGATAGCCTACGTTGCGTACCTCTTCTTCCAATTGAAGACCCATCGCCAGTTGTTCGAAGCACAAGGGGTGATTTAGAACATGGCTCTTTTTTCTCTTTTTCTATCAGATCTCCTGCCCACAGTAATCCTACCCACATCACACTACACATTCTACAAAACACGAACATCTCCCCGTGAATGATGTAGATAGGGTAGATGATCCGAACCAAATCGTAATTTCTATTTCTGCATAATTTCTATTTCGGATTGTTGTAGTCTTGTAGAGTTCACGATAACGATTTGGTTCGGACCATTCCGTTCGGTTTCTTGAATTTTAGAAGCTAAATCGTAAACCGAAATATTTATTTTTATATATTTTATCTAATGTTAATATATAATGTATAATAATATAATATACAATAAAATAAACTTTCAAAACACTCTCATTCTAATCAAATTGATTTATGGTGATTAAAAGATAAATTTTAGTAGGCACTCCATTATAAGTACAGTGACTAAGCACTCAAGTGCTTACTCAACGTGCTCAGTCTGCGTACTTGATCCGGACAGGTTGATGTGATCATTGAATTTATTGCAAGCACTTGCGTGTACGTTGGGCTTTGGGCTTGAAACAGGTTGGATCCGGAGAGGGCCCAGCCCGTCTTGATCCACATCACGTGGGGAGAGAAAAACGGGTTTCCTTTCCATGTCGGCTCTTATAACGTGGGTCCATGACCGATCCATTTATGCATATAACGTGGGTCCATAAGTTTTTTTCTTTCCTTTTTTTTAAGGGAAATTGTCAAAAACTCATCATAAGTTTTCAGCATTTCTCTTAAACTCATCACAACTTTTTAGAATATCTATAACTCATCATGTCACTAATTTGACGTTAAAGAGACTAACGGCTGTTAGTATATTACCATTTTAACCTTCATAGAAAAATATAAAATATATACATATATTTTAATATTTAGATATGAAAAAAGGAAAAAGTTAAAAAAAATATTTTCAAATATAAAATACATAGAAACACAGAAACTGAAAAAATATTAAAAAATTATAGAAAATGCACATAAAATAAAAAATTATTTTCAATTTATAGAAACTATAGAAATTGAAAAACAAAATCAGAAAAAAAATTGTAGAAAAAACACCAAAAATTATAGAAAAATACAGAAATTGCAAATAAATAACAAACAATACAGGAATTTTTGAAGATTGTAGAAAATAGAAAAAATGTAAAAAAACAGAAATTATAACAAAACACTAAAATGTAAAAAAAAAAATTGAAAAATGAAAAAGACCCTTTTCCTCTAACTCGCCATTCAAGGGTGATTTGGTCATAAAATTTGTTATTTATGCTGACGTGAACACCTCTGTTAAGAAACATTAACGGTGCACTAACGGAAAATGAGTTTTGAAAAATAAAAACTTACTGACATGGTGAGTTTTAGACATTTTGAAAAGTTGTGGTGAATTTAAGAGAAATGCTGAAAACTCATGGTGAGTTTTAGACAATTTCCCTTTTTTAATTATGAGTTAGAGGACTCTTGGCCTATCTATAGATATAGATATGGTTATGGACTAGGGTCTGATTGGTTGAAAGTATCATACGCTGGAGAATATAAAAGCCATTTAATATTCATTATTGACCCCTCAATAATTAATATGCCATACAACGATAACATTTGAATTCATGATTGACCCCTTGATAATTTATACTTCCATACAATCATAACACATTCCTTGCAGCATTTTCCAAACTGAGCTCACATTCCATATGATGTGTGTGAGAGTGAATTATTGGAGAGAGAGAGAGAGATTTGTGGTTTTATTATGTTAGAAGAATTGTGTTCAGTATCTCAAAATATCTGTATCAGTGCATTCAAATACCTAAATAATATATATGGGTATATCGATATATAAATATTTTCAAAACTTCAAACATTCCAAAAAGTAAAAAAAAAAAAAATAGTGAAGTATTGATGATATTGATCCGCTTGATATCTATTATCGAAATAAACTGGTAGCAAGGGTTTTCAATGGGATTCAAAGTCCAAAACCATGGAAACGTTCAATTTGTTTACATAATGGGATTGAATTAAGATACAAGCCTGATTAAGTTTTATAATATAGAATACTTAGAAGAGAATATTTTTATTTGTTTTCGATGATCAGATAGGATTCGGATGTTTGGATTTAAGTTTTTAAAAATCAGATAAGATTTGGATGTGGCTACAAGTTGAAGGTGATAGAAGGACCAGGGATAGAGGAAAAGGACTTGGGTGGAAGTATAATAACACACTTTGCAAGCAGGGAATCTAGCTGCACATTGGGAACATCTCTTCATAAATTTATGGGAGATATTCCCAATGTATGGTTATATGCTATGTGCAGAGAATTTTTGCTTGTAGAAGATTCAGGCTCGATTCAAATGTGGTTGGATTTGATCCCGTTACAACTTTAGTGACTCAAATGACTAAATTTAGAATCCAGATTTGAGTTTTTCCATGGTTTAAAAAACTGACCGAGAATGGAACTGTTTTGGCCACTGATTCTTGGGCCAAATGGTCCAACCATCTGGTCTGAACCCCGGTTGGACGGTTATAGGGTTCAAAACTGGACCCAGAGCCATGACTCTAGTTCCTGCGTCAACTGGTCCATCCAGTCCGGTTCGGTTTTCAAAACCATGAGTTTCTCCCTTAACTTATTTTTCCACCTCTTCTTTGTTTCATTGTCCAGAAAATCAATACCCAATGAGTGTCTTAAGCTAATGAATATTGTGTGAGGTACTTGAGTGGATTGTAAAATCTAACTCATTCTTGTGAAATTAATCAGGATGATGAAGATGGTGATGATGTGACTTCTGAAGAAACATCTGTGATTGGATTCTGGAGTGCATTTGCTTGGTTGGCTGGAATGACAGCCCTCATAGCTATGTTATCAGAGTATGTTGTGGGTACAATTGAGGTATGCAAACTGTTTGATCTCTCTCTCTCTCTCTAGTTTCACTGGAAGAGCTTATTCATGCCTTGTCCAAAGTTGCTTAACCAAGCAATTTTTTTCCTTGTTCATCAGGCTGCATCAGATTCTTGGGGTTTGTCTGTAAACTTCATTAGCATAATCTTGCTACCAATTGTTGGAAATGCTGCAGAACACGCAGGTGCAATAATCTTTGCTTTTAAAAACAAGTTGGTAAGTGATTGCAGAGCTCCTTCAATTGGATATTTTTTTTCCTCTTATCCTTCCTGGGTTCCAAAGTTAACATCTCTTTACTTGGGCATTTGCAGGACATATCTTTAGGTGTTGCCTTAGGGTCTGCTACTCAGATAGCATTGTTTGTGGTGAGATACTTGGCCAAAATGTTGTTGGCTATTGATCCTTGTGAAATTGGAGCATCATTCTTATATAGATTACTCTGGTTCAGGTTCCTTTAAATGTCATCGTTGCATGGATATTGGGCATCAATATGGATCTTGATTTCAAGTTCCTTGAGACTTCTTCTCTTGTTTTAACAGTAATTATCACATCCTTCGCTTTACAGGTATGATCATCGATACTCCAAATTTGCCGATTTGGAAATTGATACATTGAACCTTGATAGAAATACACATTAGAAAGAAAGTAGAAAACTTTTCTCACCATTTTGAAGAAAACTAGCCACTTTCTAGTTTCCTTTTAATACTAAACCAGCTGCATTGTGACTTACAGGATGGGACCTCCCACTACATGAAAGGATTTATTCTTTTGCTCTGCTATGTGGCTATTGGGGCCTGCTTTTTCGTTCTCAAAACGCCGCTTCGTAAGTAACAAGTTATAATGTAATTTGGGTTTACTGGAAATCTCAGATTGATCCATGGTTATCTGTCATTGCATCCCTAATTTGTATTCTTCTTTAACATTAATTCCAGACCAAACGAGCATCCCCAAGCTTGGAGTGGAATCATCATCTGCAGGAGTCTTGGCAGCTTAACAGGCAAGTATTTGTTCCTGCAGTCCATAGAGAAAAGCAGATAACGCACAGAGTTATCAACTTTCTAACATACAGCCAATCTCAGTGCAGGCTTTCAACTTTGGGGTTACTCCTTCATACCATGGCAAATTAAATGTCTCTGAAGAAGGGATAAGTTTTATCATTCTTTGATTTCTATTGGCTTTGCCGGTTCCTGAAGCATTCTGCAATTTACATTGTATTGTTAATAGAGGATTTTGTGATGAACCAAAAGCTCAAGTGAAGCAGCCATCGAAGTGGTGATAGACTGTGAAGACAAATGATACAATCCAATCCTGAAGAGGAGCAAAATACGCCACAGAATTCATATATAGCTTCCTACATTTTGGTGTAGCATGGATTCTCCCTGTAGCTATTGCTTATTTTTGCTCAAGTAATACTAAATAGTATATAGGCTTGGTTTCATTGTCTGGAGTACAGGGGAAATTTTCATTCTGATATTATTTTACTTGAGCAATTGCTTTGTTTATTTTTGAGTAATATTTAATAAATGAAAGAAGTTCTTATAATGGTATTCTTCAATTTTATCAAGTTGTACAGTTACTTGATCTTTTCAACTGGTTTAAATTGAAACCAAAGAAAAGGGTGCATGATGTAAGTTGAACAGAATCAAAGCTTGTTGGTGATAGTTTAATGAATAAATTATCCATAGTTAGGGGTTCCATTTATGGGATTGCATAGCAGCAACAGGCAATGGCCATGATCAGGAAAATCTGATGCAGAGAAAAATCCAAAAACAGCATTCGACCCAGAATGGATTATCTGAAAACGTTATTCTTACTCATGAAATCCCCTGGGATGAGCTTGGATGAGGTGGTGGGATTTGGATTTGGGCTCTCGAGAGGGGATTGAAGAGAAAATCATCTCTCCTTTCTTTGATGTCTCCCATTATCAAGCAACCCTTTGAAGACCCAAGGTCATATATCTTTTGGGAAACTGCTAGGGGACATTTAGCTTGTAATCCATGCATTTGTCATTCCTTATTTTAAGGACTTGTCTCCTTTTTTTGCAGTTAAAAACTCAGTGTTTATTGGGGCATTTTAACATTAAAAAGGAGATAAGTCCTTAAAATAAGAAATGCCAAATGCAGCCTAAAGATAGTGATAATTCAGATAAGAAATTCAGGATCAAATGCAGCCTAAAGCTAGTGGCAATTCAGATAAGAAATTCATGAATCCTGGAGTAAGATATACCCACCACAAGAAAAATTCTCCAGGTCATTGTTGGAGGCATGTGTACGATGGCAATCACAAAGAAACTGGCATCAACTAAGTAAATGTTTGGCATTGATGCTGCAGATACAACACTGTTTCTGTTTTCAAACAAAATAAGATACCGTTTTCTGAAATGGCGCTGCTGATGTGTGGGTTGGAAGTACTGTTCTCTAAGCAAACAGTGTTTTTTTTTTGTTTGAAAATGTTGCTGCCAGGTAGGACGTTTCTTGGAGCAACAGCAACACCTTCTATTTGGTACCAATGCTCCATATCTGTTTTCAGCACTGGTACCATTATAGGAAGTCCATGTCACTGCCACATCACATCCTCGTTGGCAGCAATGAGCTATAACATGAGGAAACGTCGAACTCGGTGTTGCTCCAAACCACGCATTCTCGATTTCCAAGGCGTGGCTTGGAGCACCGTTTTTTATGGAAAACGGTTTCAAACATATTGTTGTTTCCTAGAGCACCATTTTTTCCAACGTGGCGCTGATGTGTCATTGTTTTCTGGAGCAACAACATCGATGCCAAACAGTGCTAAATGCCATTGGCCAACTGCCATGGTGCATTTATTGATATTTACTGCATATTAAATCCAGATCTCAACAAATTACATTAAATGGATTAAACTTGAATTCCCAGCATTCCAATGAATTTTTTTGGGTGCCAAGCTGGTCCTCAGGCAAAATGCTCTGGACTTTAACTTGGTTTAGGTTTGGGTTGTAGCCTTGGATAACCCGAGCCCAAATCCTCCTTGACCCAATCTAAACTAGTATTATCACCTGATTGGTTGCCACTTTTATGATAGGGGTTGATTGGTTATTAGTTTTTTTTTTTTTAGTATCATGTTTCTCGGGATTGTTATATTAGAGTATATTTGTAGTATGTATATAATTAACTTTTGTTTTGGTATTCGGAACCGGAATGGCTTATTCCCATAGTCTGTTTGGTTCAGGCAGGAATGAGAATAGGAATTGAAATCAACAGGAATGATATTTTCATTCCCAAGGGAGAGGCATGAGGGAATGTCATTCCAAAAGGAATGGGATGGGATTCCGATTCTGATTCTGCTCAACCAAACAGCTGGAATCGGATTAGCCCATTCCGATTCCACTTCTAAACCCCTATTCATGTGAACCAAACGGGGCCTAAGCTCTTTTCTTGGAGTTGGTTCAACAAGTGGAAGGGTTAATGTATCTGATTCTACACCTGATCCACTGCTTTCACCATTTCTTTGCACTGCATCTCTTCTAGATACCAAATCTGGCCAGGATACAAGCTCCGGAAATGATAAAATAGCCGCTTATGATGTGAAAAGCATGGAGCATTGGAGCAATCTACATCAAATGAAGTTCGGGAGCAGGATTATAAAGAGAGAAGCCAGAGTTCTGAGTTATTTCAGCAGTTGCTTCTATGAACCATTTTCTAAAACCCTCTGCAACTTGAGCGGATTATCAGAAAAAATACTAAAGAAAGAAGGAGCCATTTTGTGCAAAACCCTCCTACATGTTTCGGGTGATGAACTACTTGTGATTGATGGTGTCTTCTTTCCTACAAAACAATACAAAATATATACAAAGTAATACAAAATACAAGATTTTATACTCTACAAATTTGCATTTGTATTTCTTTCAAACTGAGCTTTAGACTCTTTTAGGTTCTTGAAAATTTTAATAGTTAAGTTTATTTTGAAAATGTGAAGAATAATGGAGAGTAAAGTTAAAGGTACTTTACCCTTTATTGTCAAAGAACTTAAAGGTACTTTAAGTAAATTTTCAAATATTAAGATAAGTTTTTGTTCATTTACTAAACTATAAAGGTATTTTAAATAATTAATTCTTAATCTTTTTTAAAAGTCTTCTCTATTTAGCTATTTTAACTCTATTTTCTTTTATGAGGGAAAAAGAAAATTAAAGGACCCACGTCGCAAAACTACAATTTATTATGAATCAAGGAAAAAAATTCATGATACAACACACTTCGATAAAAAAAAATATCTTTCTCTTTCTCTCTATCTCTCTTCTGTCATAAATAAACCTGAACACTCAATACATGTGTTGAACATGCACATTCACATGGATTTTCATAGTTGGACCAATTCAGTTAATGAGTCCCCATTATTCACAAAAATTAATGAGGCCGACACCCATCAGCTATCGTAATTCATATCAACTTATCTCATCTCGTTTCTTAGAAAGATATCAATTTGATAGGGATCTCCCTTGGAGTATGTGAATGAATGTACATGTGACTGTAATTTGGATTAGGTGAATGTGATGGCTGTAGTGTGGACTGTGGGATCAATTATAACGTTCTAAGCGAGTCATGAAATATATGGCCTGATTTCTAGGAATGGTAACAGGTAGGGTATTCGTGCAAATTGTTGTACCTATTCTTGAATCTGTCTATGTATCATTGATTTCAAACTTGTTCCAAATTTGTCTAATTTTTCTTTTCAATTTTTTAAACCCGTCCTGTCTTAAACCCGTTAAACTCGTCCCACCCGTTAAACCCCTTGATCAAACGTTTTCTACTAAAAAAAAGCTTCTTAATAATGCTTATAGTGTGACAAACCCAAAAATGATAGCGCCAAATCTCTTAGAACTACTTTAAGCCACTAAGCCATCTCACCTTTTGTATTATTTAATGGAATAAAATAGATTTTATTAATTTTTGTGTTCATAAAAAACCATCAATACATATATGATTAACAATTCTAACTAAAAATTAAAAGAAATAATATTTAAAATTATAATTTTATAACTAAATGAAATAAACAATCTATCAAATCCAAAGTTGCATCAAATGATGATTTTAATCCTAAGAAATTTATATAAATAAAATATTAATAATAGAATAATTATCTTAGTATTTAAAATTTATAAATTTTTGCATGATATATAATATAATAGGTTCATATTTATGCATCCCGGGTATTGGGTATTGGATACCCTAAAGTCAAAACCCAAATCTGTCCCAAACCCTATAGGGTTTTAATCTAAAATCCTAAACCCATCTCAAACCCTATAGGGTTTTGATAAACAAGTCCTATTATGGTCAGGACGGGTCGGATACCCAAAAATTCCTATGAAATTGCCATCCCTATTGATTTCTTGACTGTATAAATTGGTCCCACAGCATGTTAAACAACCATTGTGTTCAACTAATCCGATCTCCTGATTGTGTTTGTATTGCTGGGTTGTTAGATAGGTCATAGGTCCATTTATTAAATGGGCTCTGTAAAACAAGGCTTCCTCCTAAGCTCACTATTATTTTTAACCTCTCTTTGGTGCATCGTCACCCAAGTGTACAAAACATTGGCATGTTCATTGTCTCCCAAGTGTATGAACCACTATGGTGGTTCAGTAAAACCCACCAACATGAGGCTAGTAATGCTAAGTGCATTGTGTTCAAGAATGAAGGCTCAGGGCTTGTTTGTTTCCTCTTAACTCTTATCTTTTAAGATGAATCTATTAACTTTAAGAGAAAAATGGTTGTTTGTTTCCTCTTATCTCTTATCTCTTAAAGTGCAATCATACAACTTTCTATTTTTCAATGATACTCTTAAAAAGACAAACAAAAACTCTAATATATGGGGTCAAAATAGATATTTGATAATTTTCAGAATTCAGAACAACATTCTCTGCATTCAAAGTTCAGAAGAAAGAAAAGTTCACCAATACCAATATACCTCTTAATGTAATTAGAGCAAATGAACAAACCCTCCATTTGAAAAAAATACAAATACAAAAATGTATAGTGTAAATATATACAAAATAATATAAAAAATAAGGTTTTGCACTCTACACATTTATATTTATACTCCTTTCAAGCTGAACCGAAAGGTCCAACAAAGAGTTCCTTAGCAAATCATATCCATGGAAACAAGCGCAAGCTTCAGCTTCAAAAGGGTACTCATTATGATCCCAGTCCACTAAACTCTCTCCTGACGTCAGCTCAATAACAAAAGCATCAAAATTTATCCATATGGAATATGAAATCCATATAGGCTAAGGAAGTTTTTTTGGTAATCAAAGATATCATATCAAAGGAACTCAAAAGATACAAACTCTAAAACATTTGGCAACCAAGCTGAGATACAAGTGCCAGAGAAGAGCAGAATTGAGAAAGTGCAGACCGAGTCTTCAATGAATTTATAATGATAAGTGAATTCAGACAAATTAACTTCAAGTATTCTGATCCCATGTTGAAGACACCCTTAAGCTATGTTTGGTTTGAAAGAAAAGGTAAAGAAAGGATTAGAAATGCGGCCGGAGAAGACGATATAATACA